GCCTGCTCTACCCGTTCGTTTTGGGTGCGAGTGTGATCGGCACCCGCCGAAGAAAAACACCGCATTGATCGGGTGTCTATGTGCCGGGTGTTTGCAAACACCCATAAGATTTTGTGTGGGTGTTTGCATGTTGCTGTAGTTGCCGGTGGTGAGTGGCACCGGCACCCGAAATTTGTTGAGTGTGAGTCGGGTGTCAAAAAATGCCACCCTTGCAGTTCTCTGATGTCAACTGGCAACTTGCACTGATGCCAAGCAATTTCAATTGACGACACGAACGACGGCAATTGCCGGCTTTAAAGGGATAAGGCGACATAATGATGGCACATAAGGGGCAACGGGAAGCGGTCATAAAAACGCTTTACCATCGCGTCAGTCGTAAAACCTTAACCCCCAGCGTAGATAGTTATAATTGCAGACAGAAAGTTGTTAAACTTGGGGAGTCGATAAAAAATGACACAAACCACAAAATCTTAGTAAAACAAGTGAAGAAAACAAAGGGATGCAAGTGCTGGAAAAAAGGATTTTCAAAATCGCAGAATAAGAAAACAATGGGATATTATTTTATTTAGATGAGAATAAAATAAAATATTTAAAATAGAACTAAAGTTCCTATTCAATTTGTCTTATCTGATGAAAATATTTAAAATAAATAGAATGCATTTTGTATTTAGAATATTTAACAAATTGAAATATTAACTAATATATATAAATTTTCAAATTTTGTAACGATTAATTGGGTTTTTGATGTAGTCTTAAAATTTGGGAATAGGATATACTTATTAAAATATCACCACTGCTTAGAATTGTTCTTTATCAGAGTTTTAAGAATAATACAAAATAAAATTAAACATATATGATGCTCAAATATTTAAGATCATCTTATATACGTATACATATTATATAGGATAAGATAATATAGACTTATTCCTCCAAGAAAATTAACATGGATTGATCTGTAAAAAATTATAATGGTTCTTTCATTGAAATTTACAAATAATCATATATCGTATATGGTGCTTATCTCATAGGTTAGACTTATTTCTCCTAGAGTACAAACATAGATTGATCTATAAAAAGGACAAAACCATTGTCATCATTGCTTAGATGAGTTCTTCAACCTCCAACTGACATTTATGCAAATCAAAAATTCGGTTTAACAAGGCCAACAGCCAATGGGGTTTTGTGTTGTGTGTGTAATGTTAAATACAAAATTGACTTTGCCAGCTGCTGCCGATTGTCGCCGTCAGTCGGTCGGTCGCTTATGGAATTTAAACTCTGCAAATATGCATTTAACACACTTCGGCGTGTCGAGATGCTGCAACAGTCTGTCCGTTCCGGCGTCCGGCATATACATAGTATATATCTATGTATATATATGAACGTATGTATAAATAAAAATCGCCAGCAGCTGTTGGTGGGTTGGAGCTGGACGGAATGGCGCTGCGATGGATGGCTGCTTGGGACATGGGACGTGGGACGTGGGCAGTGCGGCATTTTGAAGAGCATATGAAAAGTTTTGGCTCCCATGTTGTCGCATGGAATTTATGATGAATTTTCCAACTCGACGCATATTGCAGAACATTTTTGGGTACGCCCGGCCTAGGCCTGATTCCATCCCGTTTCCACCATGAAGTGCAACCACAGCAGGAGCCGCAAACGCACAGGCAGATCGAGGTACCATAACCAGAACCAGAGACGGGACAGCATTTGGTCCATGACTTGTTCCTGGTTTTTCCTTTTTTTTCCCCCCAGCTCCACTCCCTTTTGCTTCGTTTTGTAAAAAAACCCAACACAACCCAATCCCAAGCCCAGTGACAAACCCATTCGGAATCCCACTCGGTTAGCAGCTTTTCATGTTGCCTCGTTCCTGGGTTGTTCGGCCACATGACGTAGTCGCAGAATCCCGTCCTGGTCCCCAGTCCTGAAGCTGCCCCAGGGTAACTCTGAAATTGTTTTAGTGCTGTTGCAAAATTTTCAAAATACGATTTGACATGTATAACGCACAACTGAGTGCGGAAAAGAGCCAAGGGCATGGACTGGTTCTAACAAAATTTTGATGGAATCAAATCGAGAAGCTATTTCACATCGGAATTATGCAATTGTCTAACAGGAATGCGGTTCAGTTAAAGAAAATATAAATTATTAATTGATTTGGGTATTAAACTTAACTTATACTTGCTTCAAGGCATTATTATTTATGTAAATAAATAGATTTTGTTCTTCCATAAACATGGATTTGGAAATATCATTAGCTTTAAGCTTTTTGTTTGGAATGTGTCTATTTTTCATGTCAATATCCTTTCCTTTTGCCTTTTTTCCTACTACTCTTCTTCTTCTCTGATACTTCTATTTTCCCCTAATCCAAGTCTTGTTTGGGCTACTCCCTTCATTTATCCCTCGTTCAGGATTTCAGCCCAGCATGTTTTGGATCTTCCCCCTTTCTTGTGGGGATTATGCTAATTGGCATCCTTTGACTGGCTGAATATTCACAGACAGAAAGAGAGAAAGGACTTTAGACCACATGGATTGACTCTAAACCAGAGCTAACAACTATGCAAAAAAACATAGAAATAGTTGAAGAAAAGTCCTAGTAATGGTCAATGTATTTCCCATTTGGAAGGCCTAAAAATACTCAGACAAGAAAAAGGAAACAAAATGTGTTTGAAGGCCTTTAAAGCCCTGTATGGGTTATAACATATTTGGCAAAGAACTATTAGCAGAATTTCAAATAAGAAACCCAAGATTAACTTCTAACAATAGGCACATCATTATATTACATACAAATGCTTTTATTTCCATCAACTTAACCCCTATATTATCCATAATTTTCATCATATTGCCGGCATAATCTGCCTGATTATTCCGCCTGCCCATATTATTATGCCATTGAACAGGCCATAATCATAATCATAGCATTTATCTAATATGCCAGCGAAAATATTTGCTCATTTAATAATAAGGGCACTGAGAGGGCATTGCCTGTGGCGGGAATCCTCCTCCATACACACCACATCCAAAAACCCTGGAATCCAGAGTCTGGGCCAGACTTTGGCCCAAAAATGAAGCGGGAAAATGCGCAAACAAGTCGCAAATTGAATTGATTGGCTGGTAAACACAAGCATCGACCCGGATGCCACGCCCCCACCGAAAAGGGCAGATAAACAGATCCACAAGCTCTGGCCATAACCAGAATCTCTAACCAGAAACGCAGCAGCCACAGGCCCTAATTGAGCGTGAACATAGGAGAGCATAATGCGCGGACTTCAATTTTGATAAGAAGACTCCTCTTAGCTGGAGCTGGAGGTGGGGGAAATTTTGCAATTAGCCCTTCGAAATGAAATGGCCAAGTAAAAATTGTCAAAGAGCCCCGTGAAATTGTTTACAAACCAATTACAAAACTACCAAGGCAGAGCCAGAGACAATGGCAACTGATTTCGGCCAATTTCGCTGACCTTTGAACCCCAAAAGTCGCCTTCAGGCGCAGCTGCTCGAAAGTAAAATCCAACGGAGCACCAAAAATTGCGTTATCTTAATGAGTTTAAACGTTAATCAGGCAAGGCATGGCAAAGTCACCGCAAAAAAGGAGCAGCCGCACAGGATGCGGAAATGGTGGCCATTTTGGCTGGCCAACCCACAAACATTGGGCCACTGGGCCACCAAGTTTCTATTTGCGGCAAGCGGAAGTCGAAAGAGTCGAGAGGAGGCCGAAAGTCCAGAGAGTCCAAGGCACCACGGATGCATATTAAATTAATAATTTGACCTCATCCTGTGACTGCTGCTGCTGCTCCTGCTGGTCTAATTTTTGCATCCGCCCGCCGCCGAGATTTTTGCTAACTGATTGCGACAAGGACAACATCGGTGCGCGTTGGGGGCCATGTGGCGCTAATGTTTCACCCGAGACCCCAGAACCCAGACCCAGAACTCAGACCCAGACCGAGACCGAGAGATAAACAATTAAAAACTTTTGCAATTTGCGGTAATTCCACTCTTAACCCCTTTGGACGACGCCAAGTGCGCATAACAAGTAGCTAGTAACGTTAGTATTTTTTTATTTTCAACTCTTGACTTAACGCTTAAGTACGATTGGGATCAGAGCACAGAAAATAATTGGAATGACAGTTAAAATTAGTCAAAATTATTAGATTCTTTAATTTTTGTTATATATTTAATTGCTATTCATGGCAATTTGCTAATTTCTTTTCCTTGACTTATACAAGACAGAAAAAAAGACTTACATTTCTTAATAATTATAGTTTGTAAGCAAAAAATAGTGCCTACATGTTTTTTATGTCATTTTATATTTAAATTTCAAAATAATTATAATTTCATATCTCAACTGAGTGGCTTCACTCTAAAATTTTATTATTTTTTAAGGCATATTGTATAAAACTTTAGCTATTTTGAATTCATCTTTAATCTCTACAAGCAGTTTTTTATGCGATGAATTCATAGGGTTGTTAATATTATGTGAGTTATATTTTCAATACCATAAGTACCTTCCATTAATGCAATAAATAATTACAATTGTTAACATATGATTTGGATGCAACAATTCTGTAAATATAAAAGAGTGTTATTAAATATATTAATGTACCAAGGTTCATTTTACAACAATGTTTGTTTAAAAACATAAAACATAAAAGAAATATCCTATATATAATATCTATTTTAAATCGAACAACATATTGTTGACAGTGTAATTGATTGTAAGACTCTCTTTGTTATTATCTTATCATTAATTCTTAGATTGCCACACTGACTGATAAATATAAAGGCAGGTCTTAACTCGTTTTTCGTTGGGTGCAATAATGTAATTTTTGTTGATTTTTCGCACGTTTTTCCTTATCAATTAAAAACAGAGTGTAAAAATATTCACCCGGCACTGCCTTGGTGGTCAAACCTATAAATACCCAAGAAGAGAATACCCAATGACCATTTAAACATTACAAAGTATACAGTCAACTTTTATATTTTGAGAAATACAATTAAATATATCTATCAAAATGGTTTGCAAAGGATGTGGAGCAAGTAAGTTGACAATAAAAATTAATATTGATCATTGGATCAGCTTATGTTTCATAGTTTACTGAGTACTTAAATTAATTTTCTAGACTGCAAATGCAAGGACACCAAGTGCGGCGACAATTGTCCCTGCAGTCAGGACTGCAAATGCGTTTGCAAAAATGGACCCAAGGATCAGTGTTGCAAGACCAAATAGATATATACATAGATTCGCCAATCATATGAAACTAAATAAATAAAAAGGCAGCAACCAAAAACCTCAAGTCAAACCCACAAATTTCCCTAGGAATGTCTGTCAGAAATGATATTTCGCTTAATTACAATTTTCGCGGGCGACACTCTGCTAAAAATGCATAAACACACATGTCGAGGACAAAATGGCAGCATGACCGTGGTGTTTGTTTTTTGGTTTTTGTTTTTAGGTTTTAGTTTTGTTTTGTTTGTGCTAAGTCCCCTTCTGGCCAAGTGTCACACACGCACATTTTTGGCCAGGGCCGTCGTCGTCATCGCAAAATGCGCAATTATTGCATTTGTGGCGCGTGGCAGGACGTGGCATCCGTATGGCAGGATGCGGCAGGATGGCTGCAAAATTTATGCGGTCTCATTTGGAGGACACAACTCGAAATTGTGACACTTGTAAGTGAGCGTGAAATAATTTCGCGCATTAAGTATACGCAACGGGGGCCCGGGCAAAACAATGCCCCGCTGCCATTAGGAGTGCAATTGTTTAAGCAATTAATTAGCACAGTTCCGTGACGATGAAGTGCCAAATAAAAATACCCAGAAAAAAATTATGAAGCTGAAGCGACGGCGGCCACTTAAGGACTTCTTCTTTGCCACAGTGAAACCTCCACTCGGATTGCCTTCATAATAACCTCAACAAAGTGCGAGGGTGGGAGGGAGGATTTTGTGGAAAACTCGTGTTTCACTCCAAACAATGAACTTGGGGCGTGGGAAATGGTGTGCGGTGTGGGGGTGGGCTGGAAAAATTCTAACCGCAAATTGCGGAAATGCCTGTCTGGGCCGTCTGCTCGTCTGCCTTTCTGCTCTAATTGTCTGTACATAATTTAGGCAAACATTTTTAATTAAGTGCAATGCCCGGCTCACACACAAGTACATGGCTTGGTTTTTAATTCCGTCATTAATCTTGCAGAGCCATTGCGAGGTGTACTCGAGCAGTTGATCGCAGCAATTAGTGCCGAGTTTTAGACTTTGGTGTTTTGTTTGTTTGTTTGTTTGTGTGTTGTTTGCCTTTGCCTTGAACACAACAATCAGCAAACAGTTGGAAAGTACCAACACTTTTTGTTTGTTGCAACTTTATTTACTCAACTGCGGTGTGTCTGGCTTTGCCCTTTGTTCTTAAATGGTTATATTAGCTAGGCTGTGTAGTTTGAGATGGTATTTCCATAGCTAAAATCTAAGCAAACTAAGAAAATAAACATAGTAAATAGAAATAATCTTTCAAGTTTCAAAATATATATTTTAAGCCGTTTAACTTTATCCTTGGAAAAACTCTTTAGACAAAGTGAGTTAATTATAAAATTACCCATATCTAAAAATAAAACTTGTTGAGCTTCTACTTTTTACTAAAAGAAAATTTCAAGAACTTAGAGGAGACTTTGTCGACCATCCTGGCTTTCTTATCGCCACGTTTTTTGGTGTTTTTCTTGTCTGTGGCACTCGTAACTTTGCCGCAAAATTGCTTGTTTCCGCTTCCGGCCCCTTAACCCTCAACAGCCCTCGGCCGTCGCCCACTGATAGATGCCATTATGACCTACTCTTGGCCATAAGTTTTCCCTCTGGGCCAACAACCACGACAACGACAACGAGGACTAAGACGACGACGTTGTTGAGGCTGAAGCTGCTGGCAGCAATTAAAGCCAATTATTCTGAAATAATTGTTTTAAGCAGATTTCTTGGGTTTGGGCCTTCTTGTCGAGTTTATTTTTGGTTGTCATTGTTATTTTATATATCTAGATGTTGGTTATTTTCTTTGTGGTGTTTTTTATTAGGGATTGTGACCCACGATGTTGTGTTTTAAGCTCTTGTGGGCTTTCGGCGGCTTTGGGCTTGACATTACACTTTTTGTGTGTCTTTAAAGCGATTCTCATTTTCAATTTGCAATGCGAAAAGCTCGTTAAAATAATTTGTCACACAGTATTCTGTTTAATTAAAAAGTTTCAAATGAATGTGCGATGCCATTAAATGATTCTTTCCAGCTTCTCTCTCTCATTCCTTTCTCTGTGTGTGTTTCGGGATGCCTAAAAAACAATTAACCCAACTGCAATGCAATGCAATGCATTGCCTGTGTGTGCATGTATAGGCAGCTCGAGTTTTCCATAGTGGGAAAAACTTGTGCAAAAAGTGGCACATTTTGAGAAAAAAAAGACAGACTGACATTTATTTTAATATATCATATACTCTGATAAGCCTATTAGCCGCAATATTAAAGGTATTTAAGATATTTGCACGCTCAATTTGGCTTAATGTATTTACATATTAAAATGATTAAATAGCATTAATTATCCTTGAAATGCGGATGCCATATTTTTTATTATTGGATTGGAAATGAATATTTTACTAATTTTGTAACACAGATTTTAATTTTTTTTTGTTTTTATGACATATGTGTATTACAATATCTGATGTTTAAGCTTATTAACACTGAATAAAAGGGTATCGTAATCATTTAATTTCGTTTTTATTAATGGTTGCATTTTATTCATTAGTTATGCTTATAGGATTAAGAATACATTACTGATAAATAGTGAAATTTATAATTTAAATTCTAAATATACATGGTTTTAATACTTTATTTTATTGCTTCAGCTTTTCCGGCTAGTGGGCCCGTTCTACACTTTTTACAATATTACTTTAAAGTGTGACCAAATTAAATATATATAAATCTTCGTAATCTCTTTTGGATACATGACTGATAAATAATAATAATTAAAGTTTAAGTTCTAAATTTCCATATTTATGTATTTAATCTGAACTATTTTATATTTATTTCAGTGTCCTTAAAAAATGCCTAAACCTTTCATTTTTATTTACCTTAATCAACAGTTACATAATACAGTGCTCTTTCCTCTCTGTACGGGTTACGAATAACGATTCAATGTATATATATATCCTAATGTTTTCGGTAGCTTTTTTTTTGCATGTGCATTTTGTGTACAATTTCATTTGCAACCCAAAAAAATAAAACTGAAACAAAAAATATTCTATACAAAATTCGCAATGGAAATGAATGTTGAATGTCTCTCTCTCTCTATGTGTGTGGGGGTAACTTGCACAATAAAATTTATTGTGTTGTAGTAACAATTGTTGTAAGCTCTTGCTTTTGTATGCGTTTGTCACCCACAATGTCCGTCAGGGGCTTCATTGTTTCGCCACATAATTAATTGTCGTAGTTTTCGGGTGTTAAATAATTAGAAAACAAGTTTTTTTCAGCTATTAATCAACGTGTGAGTGAGCGGGAGAAGGGAGAGAGTATTCTAGGTGTATGGATACTGCAAATATGGTTCAATTTAATGGCCGCAAAAAGTCTTTACACCCCACATAATGCCCCGAATTAACCTCAACACCTTATCAATGCATAAGAGGGAAATGGTCTCTAATGTGCTCCTTAAGCTCCAATCGTAACCCATTCTAAATCACAACATAATCCCATAATTTACATAAAATGGAGCCAAATCGCTGGGACACGAATACAAAGGAGGTTTGTGACCCACAAATACAAAAAAAAAGGAAAAAAGGCACCCTTAGATTCCCCTCCAAACACACAAACATTGGGCTAACGCAATTTGCCCCACTCAAATATCATTATGTCATAAATTGATGTTGAATCCTTGTTCATTTATGAAATTTTCCCATTCCCTCTCTGGGTGTGCGCTTATAAAGTTCACAAGTTCGATTTGCCCTCAAGCCAGAAGCCAAGTGTGTGGGTGTGTGCCACGAATTTAAGTTTTTATGAGTGCCATCATTGGCATCATCATCATCATCATTACATTGTTCGATTGACCTTTCTAATTGCCAAGGTATCTAGTTTAAAGTGCGTTCGATGAGGGCATCATAGCTGGAAATTTGCATGTCCCTTAAGCGGACCAAGAGAGAGAGAGAGATGATGCTAATGAAACGTCAATTATGTGCGACCGTTTACAAGGACTCTTGGCAGAATAAAATACTTAAGAATAGGTCAAAATGTCTCTAACCGACTATGAAACACCGGGTACTCAGTGAGGTTTAAGGGAATGTATTAAGAATAGATAAAGGTGTGTTTGAATTTACTTTTTAAAGATCTTTAAACCAATAATATATTTCTAGGATATATTAAGGAAAAAGAATTCCCCTGCTTTCGATAAACAAAAATGTTACTAAAGTTAACTAACATTTGAACAATTTAAATCCAAAATGTAATTTAAAATCAATTTTTTCTAGGCTTATATAACTATACAACTATAATAATATCTATGATACTATAATTTTTGAGTTTCCCCGAATTCTATATACCCTTTCACCATCATCAAATACCGCGTATAAAAATGAGCACGTGACCAACTTTGTCAACGCCTGTGGCATATCCAATTTAACCCTCAAATGGCTGCCATTATGACAGCATCATGGAGGATCCAGGAGCACCGGAGGAGCAACATCAGTAGACCCGCTGAGTTATTAGCGAATCGTGATTGGCATAAATCAATGCAACGACGACTCGTCGATGGCTGCAGAAGGTAGAATGCACCTGTCGTAGCCACACTCTTACTTGGCCAACAACTAACTACAGCTGGCCAGCTGGGCAGGACTCTTTGGTGGCTGCCCTAATGGGCTGCCCGGGTCATTGAGGAATTTATGACTGTCATCCGTCTGGCACTCAAAAAGGACATCCTTGACGATGACATTGTCCCCTCAGCTCAGTCGTAATCCCCTCACTTACATCAAGATGAATGCCGTCGCTGATGCGCCATTTATGCTGAAATCGAAATCGAAAGCATCGATCGATCACATTAATGTGGCATAAAGACTAAAGCGGATTCCTGGCGCATTGCAGATTTGATTTGCATTGAGTGCGGCATTGTTAAGTGGAATGCAAATGTCCGGGTATGGAATAACTCTGCTAAATAGTTGACCCAAACGATCTGTTTATGCACTCTCCATCCACTTCCGCTTCCGCTTTCGTATTCGAACTCCTTGCCATCCTTTGTATGACAAAATGCTGGACAAAGGATTTAATTAGTTTTTCTTTCATTTGCGATGGTAGTTTGGTAGCTGGTGTAATTGCTTTCGAA